GCTGAGGAAACTGAGGCATAATAAAATTATGTAATTTGACTAGGTATCAATAACTATTAAGGAAGAGAGTAAAATTCAAACCTAGGTCTTTTTCTGACTCTAAAACTTACACTCTTCCTACTCTGTTTATTTGCTTTATATTGTTTAATGGTACACATTTGGTGAGTTCCACTCAACACTCTTTCCTATTTATCTAGACATGGAGAAACTGTAATTACATGACGGCTGCTCAGTAGTGCCCCTAGGACATCCCTGTGTGTGGCTAAGATACAGCATGACGAAATGAACAAGCATGGTAAAGTGACTTACGTCAAAACAGGACAGATCAGCTATGCATAGGGGGTCTCCAAATCATAATACCTTTAAGGTTATTCCTCGTGAATGTCAATCCTTTATTTTATTGAAGGAAAATAACACAGTAGGTGTCAAGGAATATTTTTAAGAGCAGATCCAGGGGAAGAACCATACATATCTCCTCTCCCCTAAATCCTTTCCCCAATGCCTCCCCAGTTGCTACCCAAACCGTGACAGTTGTCTTTATTACGTACTTTAAAAGAAAAACAACACATTCAAGCATTTTAGATAGTAAGGTCCAGAGACTACAACCATTCTACAATATGAGGAAGAAGAGTTCTTGGTTTGTTTGAGACTTGTGCCACATCATATACTGTAAATTATAATGATGTAAATGTATACAGGAGTATTTCTGAATATGTAAGCATGTGAAATTCAAAAGAATCCTATGGGTTAATCTTTGTCTGAAGTGGAAAATTACCCAGACCAGCACACCAACACAGGCACACACAAGGAGACCGCGTACTTTTCCTTCATAAACTTTTCTCACGTGTTATGTCTTTTCCTATCAAGAAATTTCCTCTTGACTTCCTCTCAAGCTTGGCGTTTGGTCGGTGGGGACCCACGCGGGTTCAACATGCGTATCGAGAAGTGTTATTTCTGTTCGGGGCCAGTCTACCCTGGCCACGGCATGATGTTCGTCCGCAACGACTGCAAGGTGTTCAGGTTTTGTAAATCCAAATGTCATAAAAACTTTAAAAAGAAGCGCAATCCTCGCAAGGTCAGGTGGACCAAAGCCTTCCGGAAAGCAGCTGGTAAAGAGCTTACAGTGGATAATTCATTTGAATTTGAAAAACGTAGAAATGAACCTATCAAATACCAGAGAGAGCTATGGAATAAAACTATTGATGCAATGAAGAGAGTTGCAGAGATCAAACAGAAACGCCAAGCCAAATTTATAATGAACAGATTGAAGAAAAATAAAGAGCTACAGAAAATTCAGGACATCAAAGAAGTCAAACAAAACATCCATCTTATCCGAGCCCCTC